CTCTACTCTAGTTTTTATCCACACACTCAAATGCTCATGAAGAAGAGCGCTTGTGCGTTCGGCTGAGTCTGTAATTTCACCTCGGCTCAGAATGCTTTTATGACGGCAGATTAATGTGTAAACAGTCAAGTCAAGTCACATTTATTTATATAGCGCTTTTAACAATACAGATTGTGTCAAAGCAGCTTTACAGTATCAAATAGGAAAATAGTGTGTCAATAATGCAAAAGGACAAAAGTAACACTCAATTTCAGTTAAAGGCAGTTCATCATTCAGTGATGTCACATCATCCAGCTCAGCTCAGTTTAAACGGCATCTGTGCAATCAGGTCCACGATATCACTGGAAATTAAGTATCCCCAACTAAGCTAGCCAGAGGAACCAAAACTCAATCGGTGACAGAATGGAGAAAAAACCTTGGGAGAAACCAGGCTCAGTCGAGGGGCCAGTTCTCCTCTGACCAGACGAACCAGCAGTTCAATTCCAGGCTGCAGCAAAGTCAGATTGTGCAGAGGACTCAACTGATTCCTGTGGTCTTGTCCCGGTGGCCGTCCAGGAGACAAGGTCTTCACAGGGGATCTGTCTCTGGGGCTCATCTAGTTGACCTGGTCTCCACTGACATTCAGGGCTGTCGAAAAGCCCACTGTGAACACCCCTGTAATTAGATTCAACCTTTTCGAATTTTATGAATGATTATTTTAGGTTCAAGTGTGTGTAAGGATTTGGAAACAAACAGAGTACGGCTGTTTCTAAAGCATGCAGTGCCATCTGCTGTTCAAAACTACGCTCAGAATCGACTCGAGAAAATCTTGGGAGAAACCAGGCTCAGTCGAGGGGCCAGTTCTCCTCTGACCAGACGAACCAGCAGTTCAATTCCAGGCTGCAGCAAAGTCAGATTGTGCAGAGGACTCAACTGATTCCTGTGGTCTTGTCCCGATGGCCGTCCAGGAGACAAGGTCTTCACTGGGGATCTGTCTCTGGAGCTCATCTAGTTGACCTGGTCTCCGCTGACATTCAGGGCTGTCGAAAAGCCCACTGTGAACACCCCTGTAATTCGATTCAACCTTTTCGAATTTTATGAATGATTATTTTAGGTTCAAGTGTGTGTAAGGATTTGGAAACAAACAGAGTACGGCTGTTTCTAAAGCATGCAGTGCCATCTGCTGTTCAAAACTACGCTCAGAATCGACTCGAGAAAGAATCGCCATGCATTCGGAAAAACTCAGAATCGATGCATCGATTTATTTTCCTAGCCCTAATCACAACATAAGAAAACATTTCTAGAATCTGCATCTGAAGTGATATTTAGATGTATTTACACAATTTAATGTAGTTAATGGATGCATTTAACCTGCAGTTACAAATGCATAAATAATGCTTTGTTTTAAACATAAAATATTGAATACTGATAATTTAAATGATTTAAAACATGAAAAAAATTGTCGAAATGTGAAATTAAAACCGCCAGTAGGTGGCAGCTGTAAATGTGTGAGTCGTTGAGATTTAACCGAATCATTCAAACAGCTGATTCATTCAGGAACAAAGTATTTGACTGTGTTAATGAGTGAGTCACTGAATCATTCATTCAACCGATTTGTTCAAAAAGCTGATCCACTCAATAAGCAACCAGTATAAGCAAAACAGTGCTGTGATCTTTGTTTGGAACTATTTTCGTTGGCAAAATTGAGCAAAAACAGGCAATATTGTATCTAAAATTACGTAATGCTAACTAGGGCTGTGCGATTAATCGAAATCGAATCGAAATCGCGATTTGAGATGTTGCGATTTCCTAATCGCAAAGCCTGCGATGTGGACGCGATATTACTCTGTTCCAGAGCATATGCATGATTTAAGCCTTGAGTTGCAATCTTACTTGCCCTGGGCGAGAGTGAGCGCACCTCCGTTCTCCCCAATCAGCACTGCTCTAGCCAACCGCGTAAACACCACAAAAAAAAAACCGCGGGACGGGAGAGAGACAGAGTGGGATTATGGCGTCTACTGGGTCAGATCGATAGTTAGGCAAATTAAAACTAAAGAAAAACGTATGCAACTTAAGCTTCGAAATGACAGACAACGAACAAAAAAGGTAATTTGCAAGAGCTGCGTCAAAAGCTCCCGTATCGGTTCTGTTTTCAGTACTGGAGAATAAAAGTAATTAAGTTAATTCTGTAAAAGTAGTTATACCATTATAATCTTGCCTGCTGAAAAAAAAAAAAACAGAACCCCTCCCAAAACACAATAACAAATGTAATGGATTTCAGGTTATAATGGGAATTGTATTGGTTTTAATGTAAACTATAATGGTGTCTATTTGATGGATTCTATGGTGGGGTGTAATCTGGCAGATGGCAACCAATAGAACAACAGTAATTCCTATTGGAATAATGCCCAAAACAAAAAGGAATTTTGTAATGGTTTAATGGAAACTATAAGAATTTCTGTGATGGTTTCTATAGTTTTTTTCAGCAGGGTAATGATACCCATACTGTGCTGCACATTATTGGCAATATTGAGCTGAAGCTTGACTTTGCAAATTTAAAATCAGTTTTTTTCTGCTATGTTGGTCATCCTAATAAATGTCACAGCAATGTGTCTTGAATAGCTAGGCTATGTTTTGATCGGCGCAGTGCAAACAGCCACCACCTGGTTATTTTAGAAATCCTGGGCAGAACGTGGAAATGGCACGTCTGGTCACCTTAAACAACAC